TTTGATAGCTCATTCGAAAAAACTCCTAAAAATCAAGGTTATATCAACATTTTAGGAAAAGTTTAAATCAGGAACACGTGAAAAAATAGATTTTTGTAGGGATTTTTGTTCGACTTTATGAGATTTTTTAAGAGCACCGAAACTACAAAATATGACAAATCAATGTATCTCTCTGTCTTTTTGTCGAAAATATCCATGTATTATTGTAGAAGGATTGACTAGCCTTCGTTCGTGCAATCATATAGTCTGCAAATAACTATTATCTTATGAATCTTAATTTTTTTTCTAATCACTTCCTTTGGCGCAATTTTTACTCCAAAAGCTCGTGCGTAGGCTCCCATTAAATGCTGATTATCTCGAAAACGAGCTCGGGGCACCCTATTTTTCTTTCCAGATTTGGAATCAGCATTAAATTTCAATTCGGAAGATCGAAGTTTTAAGAAAAGCTTAAATCAATTTCCAAAAGTAGGCAGTCACCTTAAGTGATCAAAACAACCAACAGAAAGAGCGCGCGCTCGTTGACGTCAGCTTATTTTCCTGTCCTCTTATCGATCATTAATAATAGCCAATCAGCGCGCGACAAATTAACGTTTTTGTGGTAGAGTTGCGGTTTTCTACTCTCCTTCGAGGGTTTTTCTCCGGGGACACCGGTTTTCCTGCCTTTCATTTTCTATAACTTCTAATTCGATCCATGGATTAATTAAAGGGCAACAGGACTGCTAGCCACTGGCTATTAAGAGGAAATTTTTTTCAATAACGAGCAATAATGGCAAAAAGCGCCAAAAACTAGACTTTTGCATGAGTTTTGATCCCTATTTTCGTTTTGGGTTAACACTCAAAACCAAATGGTCGGTAAACGAAAAGAATAACTAGAAGCTTCTTGAGTAAGATATTTCGGACGATATTCATCGTCCATCATCAGTTTAATGACTCTCTATAAGTGTATTAAAATGGTCGGTGTAAAACTTTACTATGTCGTTTTGATTATCAAACACTCAAAACCTTTTTTTTAACAGTTAGAAACTGATGCACTATGATAAAATGCTTGTTCGAAGCGGTATTTTCAATTGTACAAAGATGTTTTGTTGCATTTGTGTTAGAATGTAGCTTTGTCAGACTTTTTTATAGAAAATATATGGGAAATAAGCAAATGAATGCCTAAACCTCATTTTCGATTCAAATTTTTGCTTTGGGTTAACACTTTGATTCCACTTTCATAGGTCATCTCCACTTCCAAACAAGTTAAACTTTCTGAATAACGAGATTTTAGCCTTGTACAACAGCCTTTCTTCAAGAAAATAGTTTTTGACGCTCACTGCTTGAATACAAAAAGAATTATCTCTTAAAGTTAAAGAAGCTTATTCAAAAAAGTCATCTTTCACGAATTCATTGAAAAAAGTTTCTATTCTTGATGGTCTTGAATCCTACTGAGCTTCTCTACATCAAGTTGCTTTTAGTTCAAACACTTCATTGTGTGAACGTCGGGCGCTGCGTTAGACACTTAGTTTTTTTAGGAATGTTACATTTGAAAACTCCTATTGAAGCTTGTCATAGCTAAGTCGATTTTGCGAATAGATTTTTCTATTTACTCCTTGTTTTCCTTCCTATCGGCATAAAATCAACATGTGAGTTATAAATAGTGGATATATAAATGTAAATAGTGAATCTAGTTGTGGTGGTGTGGAGCGAACCTGATAGTGATGTTGTAAATATAGGTATTTTATAACCGGGAAGTTTGTATCTTATTTCTTAGCTGCAGTGGAAGTAAGTCCATAAGATAGATAGTGGATACGATAGTGGATAGGATAGTGGATAAGACTTTATTTAACAAAAAAAAATTCAACCTAATTACCTGTCAGGCGTTTCTTTTCTTTTTTCCAGTATTCATTTTGCAGGACAATGCGATCTTACTCATAGTGTGAGACATTTGTTGTAGAATCCCATAGCTCAACGATTGGGGATTCGTGCGATGTCGATTTTCTAGTGAAATTCGACAAAGAATTTCCTCGTCAGACAATGAATTTCTACTATAGAACACCATTATATTCCTACTCAACTTCCCTATGGCCTTTTTGCTCAATTTCTTGTCTTGCACGCAATTTTCACCGGCAAGAGATGGATGCATTATTGAGGATGAAAGACAGTGTTTGCCATTCAATCAAGACCGATAATTACGTTTACGAGATTTTATCAGGTTGATTGATATTAATCAATGTACTAGTTCAGTACTTATTACAAACGAACGGTATGTAGAGTCGTGTATGGTTGAGTGCATACCATATATCCGTGAAAAACGTTGTAAGAAATTGCACAAATTTGCACAAATTAGTAAGTTCAGTAAACCGTATACCTACAAAACTTTGCACTAAGGCTGCGTTCATAATGCAGTGGCGGATCTAGGGGTGGGTTTTGGGGGTTGCAACCCCCCCTATGAGAGCCATCATGATTTTTCTTTATAACATGACAACGCGAGTTTTATTAAAACAGGGGTGCCGAGCACATTTCGCTCGCTTTTTTTCTATACGCCGTGTGTGGGACCTGAAACAACCATGCTCGCCTACAGCAAATAATCATTATCATAAGACCTACTTCCGTTTGGGAACCCTGTGCTACTTTCCCGCCAAACAAGTACCTCAATCAATGCTACAACCCCCCCT